TGCATGGACCAGTTTTTCAGCATCACTTTGAGACAGGATGCTCCTGATTTTTGCAATATTGTGCAGGTGAAAGAAGGCAGATCTAGAGACTTGGATTTTGTGTGATTTAAAGGACATATTCTGATCAACGATGACTCCAAGGTTCCTCACAGTAGTACTGGAGGCAAGAGCTATGTCATCTAAAGTAACTATATGATTAGACAGCAGATTTCTAAGGTTTTCAGGCCCAAGCACAATAACTTCAGTTTTGTCAGAGTTTAGAAGTAAGAAGTTGCAGGTCATCCAGGCCTTTGTCTTTAAGACATGCTTGAAGTGTGACCAGCTGACCTGATTCATTTGGCTTCATAGATAAATATAATTGAGTATCATCTGAGGTGTTAAGTGGTTACAGAGTGTGAGGTTTCTTATCACTGGATCTTAAAGTGACTTGTGTATTTTCCCTCATCCCCGCTGGCTGTTTCCCCTGGCTTGGTTTCTATTTTTTCAGAGGCTGGTTCAGGGAGCTGCAAACCGAGACCTGCATGTACAAACAGTGACTACTTCTACACCCACACTCCCTGTGACTCCGAGGGAAAGGTAATGTGGAAAAAAAGACTTGTGGAGGCGGCAATCGTACAGGTTCAGTAGAGGTGAACACAGAGAGAGATTTGACTTCCAGACCCCTGCTAGCCACAACCATCTGGTCTAGCTATTAGGTTTCCTTACATATAAATGATCTGTGCTGACTGTTTATGTCGCCGAGCTACTGGTGACCTCTTTTGCGCATTCATGTCTGGCTTGTGGTGTGTCTCAGACCCAGGTGATGTACAAGTGGATTGAACCTAAGATCTGCAATGAGACCATTGATGGCGCTGCCACGCTTCCTGCATCAGGGGAGAGGCAAACTTGCCCACCATGTAACCCAGGTTTCTTTGTCACAAACTCTTCAAACTGTGAACCCTGTGCCGACGGTTTCTTTTCAAATGGAACAGGTACAGAGGCAGCTACAAACACTTCATTTTATATTCACATCACCCTTATTTTGCAGTGACATACACATGTACTTACCTTAGATGTTTATCATTTTGACTTTACAGTAAATAATAATTATGTTTTTATTAAAAGTTATAAGTTTGTGCTGAGACAGGATTGTTCACTGTGACTGTTTGACACTACAAGTAACCAAAATTGATCAGACATCTTGACTGCAGACTGATATATGTATAAGAATACGATACACAGGAATTCAAGTCCAGAAACTCATGACCTTCAAATGCTAATGCTTCATAGGAAAACCATACAACATAAAGTGTATATGGTCAAATATACACATACTTACACATCCATGCCCCTACATCCCCACATACAGTATACTGTACATACCGTACATGCTATAATATATGTACACACATCTACACATTATATTGTTTATGTTTTAAAGTCTTGTATCTGAGGCTGGAAATAATGGAAATAGTGTGAAGTGTGGATTGATAGTGAAGAAGTAACAGACTAGGGGTTATGCTTTGGTGCAGAAACAACATATATCAAAATGAAAACATTTAGTTCAGTAAGTCATTTTAATGATATTTATTTGTATTATCTCTGTAGCATACTAGCATACAACATCCTTTATCTTTGCACCTTATAATTTGGAGAGGGTTAGGCTATACAGCACAGAAACATGTAGAAAGAAATCACTAAAATAAAGTCAATTTAAATTGACAGTTAAGAGTTTGCATCTGTTCACAAAAGCTGTAAAAGGCATTATTTTAAAATACAGGACTTTTTTATTATCATGTATATTTTACAGTCATCTGTCGTTTATACTGAATACACTGCTTACTCACAGCCTGTGCCGAGTGCCCTGTTGGCACTGAGCCGGTGGTGGGCTTCGAGTACAAATGGTGGAACACGATGCCGAGCAACATGAAGAGCTCCATGTACAAACAAGAGTTTAGTCGCTCCGACTATGGCATAGGTAAGAGACTTAATATTAGGAGAGGGCAGATATTCTAGCAGATGACCATAATAACTTCATAGTGACCCCTGAGTACTGCTGAATGAAAATGATCATAAAATGCTTCTAAAATACTTCTTGAAACAGTAAAGTGCCAGAAGGATATCACAAAATTTTGACGCATGCAGTGGTCCAAAGCTAGCAACATGTTCAGCCTCAGAACTGCTTACAATAATAGTTATACTAACTTTAAACCTTATTTACAAGTATGTTAGAAAGGTTATTTTAGGAATTCTCATATGACACACATGGCCACTTGAATTATTATGTGTGTGTGTGTATTGCTGGTTGAACAGCAGAGGAGTGTGTTACTCTTTTGTAATGACAGCATGGGAGGTGGCTGGAGAGTATGTTTACACAACCCCCGGGGATCAGGACACAGACTACCTGATGCTCACGCTCCATGTCCCAGGATACAGGTGAAGTCAATCATACACAGGAAAATCTGGTATGATAGATATCCCATTGTAGGAAGAGGTGAATGAAATGTCACTTGTCCCCACAGGTTGCCTCAGTCCGTGGCCAAAGATAGCGAAAGGAAAGAACTGTCTCGCATCACCTTTGTTTTTGAAACCGTGTGTTCAGCTGACTGCAGTTTTTACTTCCTGGCAGTGAGTAAATACAGTACATTATTTTGGTCACATGTATGCTTCAGCCTCGACATCAGTGTGAATATAAGTGAGGTGAGTCTATTTCTCTCCAGGGTTACAATCAGTTGAATAATGAGCTGGTGGAGCAGTGGAAAGGCAGCAGCAGGAAGCAGTCGTACTCCTACCTGATCCAGAGCAACAGCACCGTCAGCTTCACCTGGACATTTCAACGAGCAGAGTTTAGAACGGTGAGACACAGGTGTTACTCTTCATCTACTACCTTCCAGCAGTTTCAATTCCTCAGCCTTAAAAGTAGTTTTAAAAGAACAGATCAAGCTTTTTCACAGTCATCCATCACTTCATACTAAACTTTAGCATCTGGTTTGTAGCTTTATGGTTCAGTGCAGTGATAAGGAGCAAATCCAAGTTATTTTACTGAGCTCTAGAGGGCAGTCTGGGGCTGTGTGTCTATTTTAAAAAACTCAAAATGACCTTTGTACTACATGAGCACTGACCGTAAAATAGAGATGGACCTAAAAACTAAAAAAAACTTAACTGAAAACAATTTAAGCAGAACAAACCACTGCACTGTATGTAGCTGAATAATACTACCTCTTGTTTCTCTTCCCTCAGGAGAGGAAGTACAGTGCTGATGTTGCGAAGATCTACTCCATCCACATCACCAACGTGGTTGGAGGTGTGGCCTCACATTGTCAACGGTGTGCCCTGAGCTCCTCCGAACCTGGTTCCGACTGTGTTCCCTGCCCACCTGGACACTACATGGTCAATGGAACAGGAGTGTGTAGGAGCTGCCCGCCAAATACCTTCATCAGGGCCGGGCAGCCTGTTGGAGAGGCCGCTTGTGTTGAGTGTGGACCAAACACAAAGACAAACCAAGTAAGGAGAACAAAAGTCTCTTCACTAAGCTCTTTTTCATATTATTTTTCATGCTATTTTAGACTTGAATCACTGTTTCCAGGTCATAAATAACTAAGTCAGATAAAATGAAATAATAATGAATTGGTTACAGTCAGTTTAATGAAAATTATTTGGCATTTATTTCCCTGACAATGCGTAGAGGGATTTAAAAGCCATCAATGATGGGGAAACAGAAAATACAACTGAAGACTTTATTGAATAAAAAACTATGTAAAAATCTGACAATTTTATAAACTATATGAAAATATGCAATGCTTGTTCTTGAGCACCTTGCTTTTCTTATACTTAATAAACAAATCACAAGATGTCCACAAAACTTAAAATGTTAATTTTTTTAATTATAAAAAAGATGTTTCTCATTTTTTTTATTTGAATATATATCAACCTGGATCATATAACCATCACAAAGCATAATAATAATAATCCATCCATCCGTCCATCCATTTTCCTCCGCTTATCCGGGACCGGGTCGCGGGGGCAGCAGTCTAAGCAAAGATGCCCAGACTTCCCTCTCTCCAGACACTTCCTCCAGCTCCTCCAGGGGAATGCCGAGGCGTTCCCAGGCCAGCTGAGAGACATAGTCCCTCCAGCGTGTCCTGGGTCTTCCCCG